TTCTTTCAAACCAAGCAATAGCACACCAGACATCATCTCATCAAGTCATCATGTTCAAATTGGACTCACTTGATGAGGTGACTGGAGTCTGGTGTGCTATTGCTTGGTTTGAAAGAAAACCTGCAGCCACACAGCCCTTTCTGGAACCACTTTGACACTTCTGCTCTAAGCTATGGAAGGACAAAATTCAGATTTTCCAAAAATGAAATTGTCACCAAAAACCCCCAAAACAATTAAGCAATTATATCATGTAATCACCTAGCCCCTATGCAAATCTTGTCGGAAAACAACAAACATCACATTGAACACAACATAATAGTGAGACATAGTGGTGGCGGCATCATACTGTAAAGCCAATCTATTGAATAGAAGCAATGTTGGCTCTCTATTACTTTTCGTACAGACTTAATGTTATTTACAATGCACTATCTTGTTAAACTTCAACATTAATCAATAAAATCAACTGAAAGTTAAAAATAGAACCAGTTGCTCAAAAAACAAACAGAAAAACACATTACAGCAGTTTGGTATTGGAAAAAATTGATACCATAACAAAGAAATATCTAACAGTAGCTTATATAATGTAATGTTTTCAGTTTTCCCTGTCAAACCCGTTTCCTCTGTTGTTATTGTGGGATAAGTGGAGCTGTCCCCTCCTTATAGTGCTGAAACTGTTCAGCACCATAAGGAGGGGACAGCTCAACCAAAAAAAGAACATACAAGCACCACGGCATATTTCAGTCCAATCATTCCTTTGTTTACTAGCCATGCCACAAATATGCATGAAATAAAACAAAAGGTAAGACTCCATAGCAACGAAATCACCAGCGGCAGATAAATAAACGCAACCCTAATAACGTAGCAGCTGTAAACAAGACACACCTGAAGGGCAGTAAAACAGCGCGACGAGAAGTTACAATCAGTCTTCTTCTGCTAAAGCTTCATCAGTCTGGGGTGTACGACTCACAGCATCGCTTCTCCAGCCGTAAAAAAAAAAAAAAAAAAAAAAAAAAAGGGAGGGAAGGAGAGAGAGCTTCTCCACGTTGTGTGTGTGAGCGGGAGCAGCGCTTCAAATCCGCCCGCCACTCCTGGAGCTGCGGGAGGCTCGCTCGTCATCACCAGACCGCACACATAGGCTGGAATGAAGCCTGTCGGCTGGGCTGTATGCAGAAACATGTTTAATAGCTGAAACCTATTTTTTCTTTCTTTCTTTCTTTTCTAATTTTTTCCATTTATGTTTGAGACCAAAACGGAGACATTTTACAGAAACAGGTCGCCTCTCGCTGTCCTCGCTTAGAGACAAAGGCAGACCCTGTGAATGTATCAGCTGTGGTGAAAAAGTCATGTCCTTGTCCTTAATTTGAGCCAGGAGGCAGCATGCTGTGACTGGAAAGCAGCTCTGCCGCACTGCGCAACGCGGAGACGGGGGCGAACACGCAGACAGGACATGCATTGCCTGGTGGGAGCCATGTGTTTCCAAGCTGCAGCTGCATTGGGAGATATATTTACACTCAGAGGCTGACCCCGGAGCCAGGCGGAAACACATCTGCATTAAGGGCCACCAGAGATAACAGGCGGAAAAAAAAAACGTGCCATTGTTCTTCAGCACTATTAAAATCAAAACATTTGAAAGGTATTAACACTCAGGAGAGGTTATACAGGTAAATGGAATAACATGTTTGATACCGGTGTGACCTCAATCCTTTTTAATCATTTTCATAAATCCCTGGTTCATCTTTCTTGTTAAATCCTCCTAAATTGTTCTTTTCAATTAGAATAAATGAGCATGCAGGCAGAGTGTTAACATAGGAAAACATAACAGCTGACAGCATTGCAGAATAATAATATGAAAAATAATAACTTTTATTTGAAGGCATATTTCAAGGTCACCAAACAAGGAACAATGCAGAGATGTTAAACATGAAAAATGAAAATACATTTTATGGTAAAATTCAAACTGAAATACTGAAAAATTATACAAGAAGGCAGCAAAATAAAAACAGCAAATTATTTTCAAAAAATAACACTCAGATATAAAAGTTGTGATTTTTTTTATGAATAATAACTTTGTTTATTTTTACATTACAACTATAAGCTAAAATGTAACCTGTCTGGATTTTATAATAAACCAGCAGAATGTAGTTCATATGTGGCTGGAAGAAGCAAATCAATGCCATCTTTTCATAATGGAAATTTCTGTGCATATTATTTTTCAGAAACTTTACAAATGCTCCCATTTCTTACACATCGCTTAATCAGTCTGCAGAGTCAACATTTGTGTAGTTTAATATCAGCATAAATCCAGCTGTTCTGTGAAGGCATAGGTCAAAGGAACACATGAGACAGGGCACACATGATGTTGTACAAAAAAAAACATTAAAGACACAGTAAGTCATAAAATATCTTCCCAAAGATCAAAAGAATATTTACAAAAAATAAAAAAAAAGTTAAAAAACAAACCACAGGACTTTGTTTTACATATTTAAAGATGTTTCCCTTCCCACCCAGGAAGCTTTCTCAATTCAAAATGTCTGGATTTGACTTCCAGGCTTTATAGTGTAGCCCAACAAAGCCTTGCTATGGCTTAGAAAACAGGGTTTGTTTTTAAACTTTTTTAACCTTTTTTTTGGTATGACTATGACCTGGAGGACTGAAAATCTTCACCAGCATCAAAAGAGTATAGGTCAAAAATGGGAACCTACCAAAACATGGTTGTCCACCTAAAATGACATTTAGCCAAATTGAGAAGCAAGAAGCATTACAAAGCTGCAAATATCTATGCTATAGGTGAGAAGCTCTGTTGATGACAGGAAACTGCTAGTTTCTCAAGTCTACCTTTTATGGAAGCATGTCAAAAATAAAACCATTGTTTAAGATTGTAGAAATTCTTGCCAAAAGCCATTATTAAGACATGCAAATAAAGGAAAAAGTTGCTCTGGTCAGATAAAGTCAAGTCAATATTCATCTTTTTATCCCACATGCAAAACTGCAGATTATGGCAAACACTCCAGGGATCCGTTTCACAAAGCAGGTTTAGCGACAACTCAAAATTGTCTAAACCTGAAAACAGGGAAACTCTGACTTTTCCGGTTCACAAAGAGAGTTTATTCAACCTCTGTTTCAGTAGTAACTTTCTTCACAGAGCTAAGCTGGTCGGTAGCAGGTTTCTTCAGTAAACTAATTCCCTAGGTCCGTTACAAACATTAGGTTTTAAAAAAAACATTGCATGTCTGTTTGACAAGGATCTTATTAAAAAATGATTAGCAATTTTTCACAAAGAAATAAATATTCATAGGGAGAGGATTCTACAACTCAGTTGACAGGGTATGAGATTACTAGTTTTTGGTTTGTTTAATATGAGCCAGATGTGGATCGTTTTAGTTTTATTTAGTTATATTTACAGTACATGAAGAACTACAGAAATTATTTTCAGATTACACATATATAGATTAATTTATTCCATGAGCAACAGGAAATACTTCAGTGTTAGGATTCACTCAATAATACCGTAACAACCTAATGAGCCTACTAGACCAATCTGAAGCCATTCTATGGGCCTGATAGCCACTAATAACAATAATTTTTTGGGTTGATAACATCCGAAGCATGGCTGCAAACACCCACTTAGTATTTACTGTGTAGAAAAAAGACTGATTCAACATGAGGAGGAACCCATAAGATGACGCACAGGTTCTGTATATTGGAAAAATGTTTTTAGACTTCATTTTCACCTGCTGCCAGAAGATTTCACTTAAATAGATACATTCATCAACAACCATTCAAGAAATAATCCCGTAATATTATTGCAGTCACAACAGTCTATGGCAAGCCATTTTGATATGTACTAGTTTTACTAAATATGTATTCCTGATATCTGAAAAAAACATTTTGTCCTTGTCTAAATGACCATTCCAAACAAAATGAAATTCTCTACATCTAGAATAAACATTCTAAATGTCTATAAATGAATTTAAGATCTCCATATTCCTAACAATACTGGTCAGCCTTTTTATTATAAAAAAAAAAAAATTCAGATATCATAAATAAATTTTCAGTCAAGCTTATAAATGTCAGAACGGCCACTCAAAATGTGTAAACATTTCTAGATATATAAAACTTATTTCTTACATGTAAAATGTATTTTTTACTTTCTAAAATTCAGTTTCTGCTACAAAAATGTAATTCAGAAAATATATTATTACAGTTAGGTCTAGGAGTGTGATTTTGATCAGGAAGTATCTTATTTTAGTGATCTACATTTTAGTGAACAACAGAGAGGAGAGTGCTTTTAATAAATGTAGAATCATATTTATATTAAAGTACCCATTAACTCAAGCTGTAATTTTCTGCTTCGCCATCTTCCTCTCCTTTATAGCTGTATCTATTTTAGCTTTATTTTATTTTAGTTTTATTTTTTTTTTTGCATTTCTGCATTAAAATCTCAAATTCCAGTGGGGTGAAATAGGCACTTCCTGTTGCCTGTTGTGATGGTGACTCATCAAATCGGTGCTCCACTGATAATGGCTTTTCATACTTGTTGCACACGTGCTAAACTCTGAGTGGTTCTACTTGGAGTTGATTGAACTAATTCATAGCAGCCATTGCGAAACCAAAAAGTCAGAGTTCCTGACCTTAGGCTAGACCAATTTAGAGTTGCGGATTTGAATCTGACTTTGTTAAACCTTCTTTGTGAAATGGACCCCAGGACTTTTATGTTAAACAGGAAACATCATGCTGCAGGGAAAGGAAGCTGATCAGAGCTGATTGGAAACTGAAAAAGCTAAAAAAACAAGCAATCCTATAAAGAATCAACCGTCTTAGTAGCTTTTAAAAGATTGGGACTGACAGCAATCACTGTTAATGCTGTTATACTGTTTATACATACATTTTATAGTCTATTTATACATACCCTCTGTACACTTGTAAATGCATATTTATATCCTGTATAGCACTTCTGGATAGATGCTAACTGCATTTCGTTGCTTGTACTTGTGACAGTGCAATGACAATAAAGTTGAATTCTATTCTATTCTATTCAATTGTGCTATACATTTTAAAATGATGTTTTAAAGATGTGTGGTTTTCCTATAACAAAATATTAGTTGGGAGTCAAGATGAACTGACCCTAGGGGCAACATATCTACAAATCTTTTCCCATAGCTAAATCCATTGATATTACTATGTTCCCTGGACATTTCATAATCCAGTGTTGCCTGACTATGGATGAAATATTTTATGAAATGCATAAAAAAATAAACTGCTGCAATCTGAAAAGAGATGGCATATAGGCACTCACAATAAGACTGAAAAAAATACTTATTCTCCCAGAGTAGTACATGTTCTGAACACATGCAAGACCCTCAAATATCACATAACCAACCAAGCTGCTGTGCATCCCTACACATGTATGCTTCTCATATTTGTTTATTTAATTTCTGCATAAAAAAGTACAACACCCTGCTCCCCATCACCATAGCAACTGCAGTTTTATATTGTTACATTGTTACTGTATTTAAATTATTCATTCTCTTTTCTCTCTTTTTTTTTTTCTCTTTTTTTTTTAAACATTTAATTGAGTTGTTTTTGCTGTAATCCAAGAGATTGTTGGTGCAAAAAATTATTTTATTGCTGCTAAAAATGGTCGACATTGTTTTATTTCTATTCTATCGTTTTATCATGTTGGCTCCAGATCAGGGAGAGAAAAGGCTGCAGCAGGACGTGACTAATCAGGACCTCTCATGGTTCATTTCCTAGTATGGATAAAAAACAAAACAAAAAATAAAATCACCTGATAGGTTCTACATGTATCGATATTGGTATTCAACATGGCATTAGTCAGCTTCATTTAGTTTGCATGCAATCACGTGTTTTTTTATTTGTTGAGATTCCTCTTATAAGCAGAATAAGGACTGTATTCATGAGCATAATTACTTGTCCTGGCCTGTTAGGAAGTGAAACTTTGTGCAGATGAAACCTTTGCTGCAGGATGCAAATAACTTCCATAGGTTAAACACACCTGTCCCAGTATCAGCTATCAGCTACAGCAGAGACAGGGGACAGCATTCATTTCTCAGGGTAGAGGTCTCTTAAAGCTGAAGTACACATGGCCACTAGAAACTAGTGTTTTTCTGAAGTAACTAAATCAACTCCCTGCAAGAAGTCTCAGAACATCAGCAGAGCAGTGGTTTGGTGTGTTCTGACATACGGCATCTCAATATGGTGCTCCAGCTGCAATATGGTAGATAAGAGGGCCCTGCAGTGGATAGTAAGGGGAGTTGAAAGGATCCCGACTCTCTTTCCAAGATCTGGGCTGCTGCAGAAAGAAGGCTCTGAGGTACTCCTCATAATCCTTCTCTACACAGCTGCCATGGCGCAAAATGTAAACATTTAAACCAGAACTGCCACCCATATTACTCCCTCAAAGCAGTTTTTATTACAGTACTTCTGTGTTTTTGTATATTTGTGTTTTATTTTTATGAAAAAAATAAAAAATGTATTAAAGCAAACAAATAAAAAACTGACGACTTCTCTCATTCAGATAAAAGGCTTTGACATGAGGACACACACTTTGATCTCTGCAATATTAAAACATTTCCTCTCACCATCCAGGGACAGCCAGTCGTGCTGAGAAGATGGCAGTGCCGGGAGGTCACGTGCTTTATATTCAAACACCACAGAAGAAGAGATGACCTCGCCACCCATGGCAACCTGCAGCATCACCAGTCCTGTGTCATGGGCTGGAAAAAAGGACAGACAGCAGCTACCCTGTTTAACACAGTTTATCTAATCAAGGACAGAATTAGATATTTTATTCTCTTTTTGACAGTTCTGTTTATGAGAGTGTTTTACCTGGGCAATAGCAGCGCAGTACCCCAGGCTGGATGAGGGCAGCAGGGACGCTGATGTGGTCAAAGAGACAGCTGTACTCACTGCTGGACTCCAACCATGGACCTGTGATCAACACTTTCACTCCCCCCTGTAGAAAAAAAAAAAAGACCAACCATGTAGCTATTTAGTTTGCATTCAAACTTAGCCAATGTCTTTATCTCTATTATTTAAAAAAAAGACTTGTTGGAACTTAAATACTGAGGTTTACTTAATGAGTTATAGACAGTTTTTTCTCCTACTCACACTATTAAGCTATGTTATGGATTAAATCTTTTGTATTTCATCTGCCGCAAATGTCAAAATAGTGAAATCGGAAGATACTAAAGCATCCTTTTTGATCCCTTTCAAGTTTAAATAAGATAAGGCCAGAGAAAATGGAAAAATGTCAAAACCAAGCTGGTTAGAATCCACAGCAAACCTGGATTAGACACTTTTAACCACACACCTGATCAGCTCATCTCCAGTGCAGTAACACATTGCTTACTGAAGGAGGAAGTGGACACCCCATGTAGGAGTGTATTCAAGATTAGAACATGTTCAAGGCTACTTGCTCATTCTGTGACTGCGCAGTTATCTGTAAAGCGCCTCAGAGCTAGTTTCTGTAATGTTTTCTCTGCTTGGCTTAGAATAAATTAAGTTTAAGTTGACTTTTATCTGTGAAATGTTGTTATTATTGTGAAAAAACTGAGAGGAATTTAAATGCAGAGTCCAGTCTTTGAATAGCACTTGAAACCTAAAAAAAAGGCACATATCAATGAGAAAAAGATGTGGATACAGCAGGAATGCTCAAAACTGTTGGCAGTAACATGATTACTTAAATGGTTCATTATCTAGAAAACATTTGTTGATGTACAGTTCATTCACAGTGCAATAAAGGTGTGTGATATGTGCTTTGATGGTAATGTCTTCCATCTTTAATTGTTGGATTATCACAAAACCTTAAAGGGGAACACCATTTTTTTTACATTGGCCCCTTGATTTTACGTTATTACATCATGTTCTACTCACCCATGTTAGTTTTGTGTCATTTAGAGCTATTCTGAAGATATTCGGTTTTATTATATCCAAAAACAAAGCGGAGTGTGTATGACGTCATCCGCGCGCGCTGGCTACCTTTCATTCATCCCGTCCGCTGAACTGCTGCTAGTTTTACTCACATGCCTGGAAGATGTCTAGTGCTACTACCAAAGATGATCACGCCCTCGAAATGGAATGGAACGATTCAGATTAGCTAGGCGAATGAATATAATGGGTAGAGCGTAGCCGGCTATGGCCCGTCTGCCTGTCACAACTCCAGTCCGGTGCGCGGATGACTTCATGCACACTCTGCTTTGTTTTAAAAAAATATAAATATAAAAAATATAACCGCAGATGTCTGGGGGACAGTGATTCACCTACATGTTATGAATGCTGGCGTACCATAAAGAATAAATTATGAACAGTTTAGTTTGTACCTTCAAGTCGTTGCCCAAAGTAAGACGTTACTTGGATTACAAAACCGAATATCTTCAGAACAGCTCCAAATGACACAAAACTAATATGGGTAAATAGAACATGATGTAATAACGTAAAATCAAGGGCCCAATGTAAAAAAAACCAGTGTTCCCCTTTAAGGTCTGATTTATCTCTGAAATTAATTCATTTAAAAAAAAAAACTTTATTTGCAATGGAAGCTCACTTCCAACACCTATAAAAATAATTTTCACTGTGACTTTGCACTTTAATAAAATTACAACCTTATTCCAATTCATTGCACGCATATTAAGAACACAGGAGTAGAGTAGAGAGATGGATCCATCTATCGATTAATTTTCACACTGACATCTATAAAACAGGGTGAGATGAAATTGAAATCATTGACTCCCTCTATTAACACGTCCTCAGGTTTAAAATAATTGAACCTGAGTGCAGGTTCTCACTGATTTTAAAGACCACCAAGGTGAGAGGTTCAGAGTGAAAAAAGCTCCGGCACAGCGAAGAAACCAACTTCTTCTGCACTGGAAAAATCAAAATCTAGATAAGTCATTTTTTTCTTAAATAAGTGCATTTGCTCTTGGATCAAGGAGGTAAAAGAGACATTTTGCCAATGGAATAAGACAATTTACAATTAAAATAAGAAAACACAATTGCCTTGTCTAATTTCAAGTGCATTGTATCTAAATATCTCATTTTAAGAGTAAAAATACTCATTCCATTGGCAAATCATCACATTTACCTACTCAGATTAAGGGTAAATACACTTGTGTAGAGCTGGCTTAACGATAGGAAGGTGACTATGACTTAGCAGGTAGAACAGGGACCAAACATTATAAGGTTGCTTATTTTCTTTTATGAATCTAGACTGTAATTATAATGGAAAACAGTTTGTCTGAGGATTTAAAAGATGTTCTCTGCCATCAGTCCTGTGGCATACGAGCAGCAAAGCAATGTTTAGGGCAGAAAATATAAATAACAAAATATTTACAGCTAAACTAAGATTAGAATGTTATTGTGCATTGAGGAAGGAGTTACTCTTGTGAAATAGTATCTATGTGTTCTTAGTGATCTTCATTCTGTCATTCATGTTCACACCAAATATGAATTTCGCAGATGGAGCGAAGGATCTTCATGTTATTGATGTGTAGAGGGTGGCTCTGGAGCACTCTACAGAAAGAGGCGAAGATTTCGATTCAATGTGACAAAGATGGTGCATTCTTGGCTAATTCAGCAAATCTGGATCAACAAAGCACCTGCGCAGTAATTGGAGCGAAATTCGCAGAGGTTGAAAAACAGGACATTTTTAAATAAACAATCATCTCCCAATCAGGGAGAAGGTGTTGCTGTGACCTACAGTGAAGGAGGCAATGGAAGCAAGATTATTTTAATCAAAATTAAAGAGAGAGAAATGAAGGAATGAATCAATGAAAGTGACGAAGGCTCAACTCCAATTTTTAAACAACCACAGAATGTTATTTAAATCTGTGGCTGTGTTTGTTGTTGATGGACCTGCTAGCTGCAGATTTTCAGGGGTAGATCTCCATCAGCTCGCCTTCTAGATTCTAATACTTTTAGCCTACTTTCCAAATAGATCCAGCTCAGTAAAACTGGGTCTCTGAACAACCGATTCAATTCTGTTTGCTAGCTGGCCAGTCTAGACTTTGACTGGATGATTTTAACACATGATAATGCTCTGATGAAGCCTTGTTCTGCTTATGAACCAACTTCTGCCCAAAACTGTTCTTCTTCTTCTCCTGTCTTTAGCTGCATCCAACTATTTATCCAACCTGATCAACATTTTGATAGATTACAAGCATTTCAACACCATGATGCTGCCAAAGAGAAATACAGTTTGAATAAAATACATCCCAATCAGCTTTATGTCAAGGTCTGTTGTTCTGGATCGAAGAGCAGACTGACTCTTGGTAAACACTTGGTATGTTTTAAGGCTCTAAGGAGGTGTTAGAGGCATCTGAGCAGCAAAACAGGCAAAGAAAGATAGTGGATAAACCTATATAGGTAATTTTGTTTTAATTTTTGTTGCAAGCAATTTTTTAAAAATATTTCTTTCTTGAAACATTACTTTTTCTTTTTTAACAGGTGCCATATAAACATTTTTTAGATAGTTTTCAAGAATTGCATTCTTTTCAAATTGCATTTCACAGAACATATTCTCTTCATGCCCAACACAAACACTCCCTTTGGGCCAGAAGAAATGTGACTAACTTCCATGCAGACCTCACTTCAACCCCTAGAAGGGAAGAGAATGAAATCTGTAAAACGCAACTTTAAAAAAACAATTTCAATTCATATAACTCTCTCTAAAAAATAAGGATTTGAAGATATAAATCCTTGAAAAAAAATACAATTAGAGAAAATAAAATATGACAAAAATTAAATCTGATTAAATCTGATAAAACAGCTAATTTATTCTCAAAACTCTTTTTTGATTAAGGTGTTTTTCTAGGTTTCATATCTGGATTTAATTAAATTTTTCTTTATTTCAGTTGAGAAGCTGTGCTTTTTTTTTTTTTTTTTTTTTTTCTTTTTATTCATTTGCAACAATAATGGAACAGAAATCAGTTCATGTGACCTAATTGACCAAGGACCAAGCTGAAATGGGGATCAAGATAGGTGAGAAAAATATAATAATTGAGGAGATACAGGTGCCTAGTTTCAGCCAATTAACAGAAGGTTGTGGCAGAGGGAGAAATGATTGAATGAGAAGCAAAAAATTTAGAAAATGTGATGAGAAAAAGTAAAAACCAAACCAACTAAATATACTGAGGAAGACTCAAGAGTAAAAAACAAAACAAAAATAAAAACCAAAACTAACTTGCAGATTCTGACACTTAATGTTTGAGACAAAATTATGAAAAGCACCAGGAGTGTGAATACTTTTGCAAGGTACAGTACATTTACAATGTGAATGCTCTTTATTTTAAAAACCCCTCTTTAAAACAAAAAGAAAAGAAAAAGATTGAAAATGCAGATAAATATATTCTTAACTTAATAATTGTTGCTAGTTATTTCAGTTATTCGCATGTTTTTTTTAAAGTAGTGGCACAAAGATGAAGGGTTTTTCCTCAACTTTGATCATAATTTAATGACAGAGCTGCTGTCTGAGTTATTAGAAGTGGTACAAGCGTAAATTAATGAGGCCACCCAGGGGAATCTGGGAAAAATTGAAATTTCATTAAAACTCAATCAGCTGAGTCTGAAATATTCGGCCTCCTTAATGACCACATACTGTATCCAAGCTGTCGGTTCAAACCGCGCTAAGCGTGATTGCAACAGTTAACGTCAGTAAAAGCTGCCATCAATCATGTTGAGCAGGGACTACTTTTCCTGCGGGGAGCAGTGATGAGTAAATAATGATTACAAGTTGGGTTTACTAACCTCTGGATAAGACCACTCTGGGGAGTAGTCCGTCACACCGAAAAGCCTGCCCGTCTCCTGGAGCAGTCCCAGCGCCCCCTGCTCCACCTCGGACCCCTGCAGGTGACCGGCTGCTGTGCCGTGCTCCTCGCCTGCCGCCCCCTCTTGGGGCATCAGAACCCCAGAGACCGCTGCCGCCACCCCGCCCCCTGACCCTTCTACTGAGATGAAATCGTTGATAAGATCGGAGAACTGGCTTCCGAATGAAGCCTCAAATCCTTCCAGACTGATGGCTGCTCCGGCGCCAGCCGTTGCTGCTGATACCCCCCCTCCTTGCTGAGGAAGGGGGGAGTTGTAGAGAGCGCCCTCAATGTTTGAACCTATAGCTATAGCCTGAGGACTGGCCCCCACTGAGCTACTGGTGCCTGAAATGCTCACACCATTACATATAATTTCATTTTCTGCTCCTCCTCCACCCCCTCCACCCTCGTCCCCCCCTCCAGTGTCATCTGTGGGCTGCAGGTAGTGCTTGGCATCGACGCTCGTATAGGCCTCGTGAGGATCCCCAGCCTTGAGAAGTAACTCTTCTCCATTTTCAGTTGGTTTCTCTAAGGTGGCCACCTCCTGATGAGCCCTGCTGCCTGGTTGCTCGACGTCCTGTGTGGTCAGGGGAAATGACCCGACAGCCGCCTGCCCGTTTCTCGCACACAGGGCCTGCTGGTCTGTGCTGGCCTGGTGGAGGTGTGTGTGGGGTTCTCCATTAGTGACAGGAGAATCGGTGACCACTGGGGGCAGGCCCATGTAGACCCTGGTTTCACTGGATTCCTGGGCTACCTTGGTGCCATTGACCTGCAGCTGAGATGGCTGGGCTGTCTGGGGGGAGGCCTGGAGGAAGAGGCCGGGAGAAGGGTGGTGCGACGGCTGGCTAAGGCTGGAGACGCAGGCCGACGACATGACGGCACTGAAGTCCATCTGCTCCAGGGTGGTGCTGGGGCTGAGGCCAGTTCCCTCTCCAACGTAGCTGCTCTGGGATGAGAGTGGCTGCTCCAGCGGCGCAGCTTCCGTCTTGATGTTGTTGACGAGTGCCGGGTTATAAACAAAGCCATTAGTGGAGCAGTGGAGCCCCCCATCGTCGCCATTGCAGCCCTCGGTCTTTCCCCCGCCTCCTCCGTACGTTTGGCCCTGCTTGGGGTTGTTGAGGAAGCAGTCAGGGTCAAAGGTCATGGTAGTCTCAGGAAGGCTGACTCCAACACCAGAGTCTAAAGAACTGGACAGGACCAACTCTCCTCCCTCCCCTAACCCTCCACTGAACGATGCAAACCTTTGGTTGTCAGGGGCAACAGCCAACAGGATACCAGTGGTGGCGCTCTCATGGGTGGAAGCCAACAGATGGGTGTGGCCGGCTGAGTAAACAGAATCCCCGGTCAGAGTGGTGACCTCAGACATAAACACAGCGGTACTCTGTGACAAGCTGGTTCCGATGGCAAGAGCCGGGCTGTCAGCCATGTCGCTTGCAATAGACAGTGGCGAGCTTTGGGTCGTGTCGGGAACCTCCACCTGATTGGTCGAGGTGGAAGAAGACACCTCCATGCTGCTCTGTGGGAGTAGGGAAGGTTTGGTTATCCTGCCATTCCTCCTCTCTGCTCCACCTGCCCGGCTCCTCCCCCCACCAGGGTTAGGCTCGGTCTGACCCTCCGATACATCACTGTTCTGGACCTCTGTGCCATCTGCTTCCTCGGCTCTCTGGCCTGCCGCTACGCTGGTTCCTACTGCTGTCCCCCCTCCTGTTCCTGACTCCTGCTTGGATGAGATGATGCGCTGCTTGACACTGGAACATTTCTGATGCAGGCTGCTTCCAGCACCTAACAGAAAAGACAGAAAAACAGAAAAAAAATCAGAAATATGCCCAACGATATAATCTTCTACTTAATTTTTCGTACATTTTTCACTTTTCATGTTTACATTTTTGTATATTACAAAATATATACAAATATATTTTAAGCATTTTAAATGTGATAAGCCAAAATTAAACAGAGCATAACTGTGAGATAAAGTACCCTGAGAAACTAGGAAAGTAAGGATTGCTTGTGATTAAACACGGCAGATCTAGATGAAAACCTCTAACAGTGTTAAGAAAAAGACTCAAGATTGACCTTCAAGCAGGTCAGGACCAGAGATAAAACTTTAGAAGCTCTTCATCCAGTCTGTCTGGGTCATTTTGCAAAGAGAAATGGGCAAAAGGTTTAAGTTTCTAGATGTGTGGTTTGTAAGTTTTGTGCACACAAATAAAAAAACTTGTGGCTGTAATGTAAGTGAATGGTTTGCTACTGAAGTGTCAACTCAGGGGGGCTTAGTCGCCACATTTTTTTGTTTTTTTATTCGCAAAAAAAAAAAAAAAAGAAAAGAAAAAGTCCACTACTAGGATAATTTTCCCTCTACTTCACAATTATATTTCAGAAAAAAAGCTGTTCTGTATTTAAAAGAAGAAATGCTAGATTCATTAGAGAAGATGAAACAGCACCACCCAGCGTTCAGAATATATACTGCATCGATTATGCAAGAACTCTGATACAACTTACAAACAGTTGAGTATTGCAAAACATTTACAATTTTTCAGGAAGTAAATGATCTAATATGAAAATTAGATCTTCAGTTTGCATTTTAAGGATTTATAGGTTTTAACTGCAGCATTAAAACCGTCTCCTCCCTAACAAAACAGGATAGAGATACTGGATCAAGTGCCATGGGATGCCAAAAAAAAAAAAAAGCAGAAGGCTCTGAGAATGATTCCCACATGTGAAGGTGAGAAATGAAGTAGTACTCATGTTAACAAGCCACACAGCTTTGGGCGAATCTTAACTACCCTTTCAGACCACATCAACAGGGTGAACAGGATTAAATAATGGTGTGTATGTGTGTGCCGCAACGATGGCTGAAATGATCTATTCCTTCATGCTGCTTCATGAATATTAAATGCTGGATATTTCAGGCATGTTTGCCTTTCTCCAATAAATCTCTCAGTGTCATAGCTGCAGTTTCTATCTGCCTCTAGGTGGCAGCATGACTCTGATCAGTGCAGATGGTAGCAGCTTGCTTCATCTGTTAAAAACCTAGCTGAGTTACACATATGTGGGAAATGTAGCTTTTATTAATTATGCATCAATCTAATGCATTTAATAAACACTAGGCTAAACTGACAAAAGCATTAGGAAACTAACAACCTGTGAGGTTAGAGATGTTTTCGCATTCAAAATTATTTAAATCATCAGTAAAATACTGGCTAATAATTTCCTGCCAGTAAGATAATTGATTAATCTAATTAAGTAATGGGGCCAGGTGTACTATTATGCACAGCTGAATGATGTAATTATCAACACAACTTCACACTGTGTACCATTGGTGTGTACCTTTTATTTGAGGCAAAATTACAAATGGAACAAAATGAAAAGACCATTGTAAACTAGGGGAGGTGAGCTGTCTCAAAATCTAAAAAAGACTCGAAACCCTGTGTAAAACAATAAATGGTCTAAGAAATATTCAATAATTAACTAGAAAATTAAAGTGTTGATTAGGAAAATCCGGATTAAAAGAACTCAGATTAAATTAGTATTTTTTATGTATATTTTTGTGGACAAAGAAGTTTTTTTTAGTACCGTAATATCTTATCAAAACCAATTTAAAATAAAACAAAAATGACAAATTTTAACCAAGTCAGTTTTACACCACCCATCCAATCTGCCCTACGCTCTACAAAACAATAGATTAGTATACTAATCAAAGTAAAGAAATAACTATTAATGCGGTCTGCAAAGCAGTATGGTGTGTGGAGCAGGCTATGTGACCCAACTAAGTAACTATATTGTTTATCACAAAATTGAATTTCATATTATATCCAAGCAACTGTTTTAATAAGCTGCCATGGAGATTTTCATATTCTATGAGCTAAATTAACAGCTTCATTGAGTCATAAAGTTTGGGTATTTTAATCTCTGAGAGCATATTAATTACAAAGATGTGTATGAAATTTGTATAATTATATATAGTTAATTCCTTTTCCATAACTCACTAAATAATCCCAGCGTTCTAGTTTGGTAAATATTGCTTGAAAAAAAAAAAAAAAAACACTTCTTCTTAAACTGATGGATTGTTTAAGGTCCTTGAAATGGATGATGTGCAGAATCAGCTGGCTTTATAAAAAAAAGAGAGAGAAAAATGTTCTAAAAATGTGTTCAAAATCCCATTGAGTATTGAGAACTTAAAAACGCACATTTCAGTGTAATTTTTCTTGTTGGGCTTTCATCTGATAAACCAACACAAGCCAGTTCAAATGAAAAAAGAAAATAAACTGTTTAGATTTTTTGCTATTGTTTATTTAATAAATGGAAAACTGAAAAGTTTGGCATTCATACTGGATGTATCCTACATTATATACAGGCTGTGCTTCAGCAGGAAAGGGGAAGCTGGTTCAAGCTGATGGAAAGATGGGTGAAGCTGAACAGCTGGCAATACAGGAAGAAAATCTATTGGACAACAGAAAGAAGACTGAATATACAACCAAACCCCCCATAGAGTTGTTCTACTAATATGATTATCATTTAAATGTATGTGTTAGAATAGCCAAGTCAACATCCATACATTCAGTATATCCAACCAAGCATTTGTGTGGTAAACTGATGTTCATAGACTCGCTCCATTTACTCTGACTGGGCTTAAAACCATTTAGCATAGGAGAATGTGTGATACCTTTAGTCTGTGCAAAGCTGGGAGAGATTTATGCCAAAAGATTTGCAGTTCAAAGCATCACATCTTTTTTCTTCTACTTTGTGTTGGTCTATCCAATGAAATACCAGTAAAATCCTTTCAGGTTTTAAAGCCATAATCTGACAAAATGTAAAACTTTCAAAGGGTACGAATAACATTAAGGGTACTATACAAACATAAGTAAAGCTTAATTAGTTATGTCAGTGTTTGCCAATAAAAAAAGCTGCACAACTTGCATTAATGTGTTGGAAATATTTTCTGACTCTGTGTGTCCGAAGTTCTTAGGTGAATTTTTCCCCGACAAAAAACAAAACACATGAGTGAGTGAAACATGAGAGGGTTTGTGCAGGAGTTAAGGACACTCACACATAGGTTTGAGTTGCCCAATGAGCTCCTCTTTGCTCCACTTGGCCCACTCTTTCCTGTCCGTGTTGATGGAACAGAGAACCGGACCGCATGGCTTCCCGCTGTCATCCACTGCCGGCACGTTCAGGTAGTGCACCAGCACTATGTCTGGGTTCTGAAGCACACAAACATGCGCACACTGCGTTATTTTGAAATGACATCCATTCATTAATTCAGTGATTGTTTTTTTTCTTCCCTTTTTTAAGTGCAGAGAGAGCAGGAATAAAAGAATCTATTCACAAAGGGATAAAAGGGCAGAGGAGGAGGTATACTGGGAGGGAAAGTGAAAGAGAAAGTAGAGGACAGGGAGGAGGTCAGACGTAGCGTGTCAGATAAGATTCTCTCACCTGCCTATAAAAGATTTAACAGCTTGAGCCCACTCATCACTCTCTCTCTCTAATGCTGCAGTGTCTACATGTGTGTTTGTGTGTATGTGAGCATGATACAGGATATATATGGAAAGAGAGAACAAGAGAAACAGAGGGAGAGCAGTTCTCACTATACCGCAGGTCACCGCCAGACCTATGGAATTTCTACCCCATGAATGATTCAACAAGTTCACTCATGTGCATGTGTGTCTGTGTGCGTGTGAGAAAGACAGAGAGCCCGAGAGAGAGCAAGTTTTCTCCTTTTTTTTTCATGATGAAAGATTCAGTAGACAGAGTCAGGTTAGGGGGTGGACCAGCTGAGGTGGAACACTTTCTCTCCAAAAGAGGGGTAGCCCACTGGGCTGCTTCAGCACCAACGCTCTGCGCTGCAACACTGTTCATGGACTGACTTATAATCATGTTCACTGATGTGTTTTGATATCTGTGCAAAGAGCAGAAAATGGCACATTACAGATAAAGCAAGTCAAATTTCCCTTCCCGTTTTCAAGATTGCACGATTCCAACCAGTGGGGCGTGCTGAAAAAGAACATATAGCAGGGTCGGGGCATAATATTTCAATTTGCTGAGATAGCTGATATTTCCTTGTCGACTTTATGAGGAAAAAAATCTACAGAAAAAAAATAAAACTCGATGACAGCTTCATAAATGTGTATGTATGCCCTTATTTTAAATATTCAATATCTTATTTGAAATCAACTGTGAGACAGAAAGAGTCTTGAAGGTTAAATGATGCAGACGTGTCCAAAAGTCATCAAGCAACATGTTGTGAAGATGATGAGGTCCGGGTGGCTATTTCTTGCATGAAAGACCAGTGTGTGCGAGAGAGAAAGAGATGGAGAGAGCAGACGTGCGAAAAGTGGAGTTAGTCTGACATCTTCATGAAAATCAACATGCCTTTATACACAGCAGACACCTATCTATGTGTGTGAGGTAGAAGGCATGTTAGGTGAGTATTTTGTTGCTCCAGGACATTTTCTTAGAAAGGACCACACAGAGAGCAGAGCTGAGTCCCTGATGCAAGCATTGAGAGTCAGGGTTAGATAACACGCTGTTCCCAGGATGTTGCAGTCAGCTCCTGTAAAAATTATTTTTACCATCCTTTACCCGTGTGACAATTTTTTTCCAGACCTATATCAGCAGTTTATTCCACAGTGGTCCATACGTGTAGGTAGGACACCGGTAAGCCAAACAACATAAATTTTTACTATCAGCCCAGTCCTGGAGTATTATTTTCAGCGGCCTGAGTCCGCCTCATTAATTTGGAAGGGGAGGACTTTTACTGCTGGTTTATGGTTTAGCTCAGTTTCACCTGTTTGACGATCTAACAAGTGAGAGATTGTGTTCTACTTTGTAAAAAATAAAACCAGTAACAGAAAATAAAGTCATAATCCTACTTGTGTTGGTAGGGTAATGGTCAGGAGTTTACATACGACCTGGTGCTCATTTTGGGTTTTTTATCTATTTATTTTTTTGACTGTAATGTTTTGAAAAGAAAAAGGTTAAGTGAAAAGTTTCTGTTTAAACATGCTTTCACACCTACGCCATCTGTAAAAAACAAAGCTGCAGTTTAACTTTTGTTACAATCATGATTAGATACTTGACCACTCTGCTTTTCAGACACTCATTTGGTGTATACTGGTCTGTAGCAAAGGTGGGAAATATCTAATTACATTTACTCATTTACCTTCGCTTGAGTCAAATTTGGAAAAAAAACTTTTTGGAGTCGTAGTACTTTAATGTACTTTTTACTTTTACTCGAGTAATATTCTTCTGAGAGTATCACTACTCTTACTTGAGTAAAGTTTCCGGTTACTCAACCGATTGTGAGTAATTTAATATCTGTAGATACTGTAGCTGAAAGTTCTTTATCCTTTCCTGACATATATACATAACTTCTGTAAGGGTTAATTGTATATGTTTACTGTTTGGAATAGTGTATCTTCTGCCTAAATTTGTTATTTTGTAATCATGTTATTTATTACACTGCAAAAATTTTTTATCTAAATATAGAATAAGTCATTTTTTAAATCAAAATAAGTGCATTATTTCTTAGTGAGACACTTTGCCAACGGAATAAGACTATTTACATCTAAAATAAGAAAAAAACTATTGCATTGTCTTATTTCAAGTGCATATTACCTAATTATCTTACTTTAAGATTTTAAAAAAGTCTTTCATTTGGAAAATTATCTTATTTACCCATTCAAATTAAGGGTAATGACACTTAAAAATGTATTTTATTATGTTGAAATGCCAGAAGTTTGCATATAACTCTCTGTCTGATTGCATTATTTCAAACATTAAAAATCAAATGCTTTTAATTGATTCGCCATTTTACCAAGTCCTTTTTACTCTTAACTGAGTAGTTTCTTGGATGATTACTTTCTATTTTTACTTGCATAAAATAAACTTAAAGTACTGCTACTCTTACGTGAATAGAAACTGCATGTACTCTACCCATCTCTGGTTTGCATCTGGGAACAGACTTAGCTTTCAGTCCTGGTTCATTCGTTTATTTATGAACGAGGTCAGGGCAAATATAAATGGTTAGTATTTTTGATGAAAAAAGTTCTTATGTGGGTTTGGATCCTTTGTGCTGTTCACAAACAAACCAAATGTTTAACCTTTCAACAATAATCAGCTGTTAAGCTTAGGGGTTTAATAGTTCCAGTCATTAAGGATGTTCAGATGTGTGCTTAATGCAACAGAGCTGATACAAATGCCTGAGTCAGTGTTTCAGCTTTGGTAGGCATGGCGCACTAATGATCCGTCCATTTGATTCAGGTATGCAGAGTCTGGGCAACATTTACAGCATGCGTGTAGTTTTCATTACCCCATCCACTGAAATGCACCAGTGCCACCAGTAGCAAAACAACCCCACATATGTATGCAGACACCACCATGTTTGCCTGTCAATACAGTTTGGAAAACATCACACTGACTCCTTTGAATATGCTCCCTGCCTTTTAATTTTTTCCTGAAAATCTTTGCCTAACGGTTCATCTGTTCTCTAAAATACAGCTGGCTTGTTAGTATGGGCAGCTGCAAAAAAGAGGAGGCATCTTAGCTCTATGGTGAAAGAAAAATGTGCGTCAAATTCTTGTTTCCAACAAGAAAATGTTCACTCACTTCCCCGTGGAGGAAGATATGGAAGGTTAGAGGCCTTCACTTTTGAGCGGTTTCCTCTGACATAAAAAGGTGGTTCAAAGGGGTTCATGGATGAACTCCTGCAATAAAATGCATGTTTAAAATCCATGCTTTCTCGCGCTGATAAGGGAACATACACAAAAAATGTGGGTGCCTCCATTTTTTATTTTATTTGATCTGATTTGGAGGTCATGTGCCTCTTTTCTCACACCCTTCCGGCCCATGTTGCCTAAATCAAAGACGAAGATTTTACAACAAGAAAACAATCCCCGACACACACCACAAATGCTACTGAATTAGATGAATCAGCTTCTGGAAAGCCCTGAGCTCAACCCTACTTAAAATTTATGGACTCTACTTAAATCTCAGATAAATGCCTGGAAATCGGCCAAATAAAATGAGCTCTATCAATTTTACCAGGAAAAGTGGTGGAATACACTATCCAGCCAGAATTGTGCCAGAAGCTTTTTGATGGCTACAGTCAGGGTGTGTTGAGGTCCAACATGCTGATGGGATAAGAAGTCAAAGATCAGTGAGGATTGTATGAATATATCTAAGAGTTAAAGTGCAATTTTGACCCTGTGTGAATCCACAAGTTTGTTTTTTTTATGCTGGATTTCCAGATTGTTGTGTCTACAATAAACATCAAAAAAAGAAAAAAATTACCAAGTATCATCAAATTGCAACCACCGCCATCTTGAGTTTAGGTAAACATATCTGAGGCACAGTGGGGAAAAGGGCGGAGAGCTTACCTGCAGCAGCCAATAGCATCTACGATGGAAGGTGGGGATGATGGAGGAGTGGACGTAGCAGCCATACAGACACTGGAGAGAGGATAGGAAAGGACAGCAGAGGAGAGGAGATCGCAATGGTGAACAAGACGAGAAGAAGGGAGGAAGCAGGACAAAGAAAAATCGCCAAAAGGGAGTGGAGAAGGAGAAGACAGGGAGGGAGAGAACGGGAGAGGAGAACTTAGGTTATACCCACTTAGGTTGTATTGATTGTGGTGCTGAAAGTAAATTGAAAACATGCTGTATATGTTTTTTTTTTCTTCCCTAATGTCTTTTCTAAAATACCATCAATCTAACGTGAACAACAACAGCACAAGACACAGCAAATACTCACAGCCTGTGCAAAACAGGACTTTTAGAGTTAATAGGGACCTTTGTTTATATTACAATTTGTTTTAGCAACAGCAAATGGGGTGACTGCAAGAAAGCGCAAAGGATGCTTATAAAAGGACAAAGCAGAGGGTGACCAAATACAGGTGCAACTTGCTAAATCAGAATATTAGTTAAAATTAATAATTAATTCAGTTAATAAATTTCAATAACCTGTTTTGAAAAGACAACCTTATAAATCAGGTTGATTTGTTACCCAAATATTGTGAATTCTGACTATTGTGGTTTCAGCTAAAAGTAAAACAAAAAAAAAAGAAAAAATACTTGGAAAGTTGGAATATTACGTAAGAAATATAAAGAAATGGCATTTTTAATAGAGGCGCGTTGTATTAATGTTACAGAAACATGGGGAGGACTGCTGACTCGGCAGACAGTCGCTGACACCCAAAAGGAGAACAGTTTACTTCTTATGCTCCACTAATCTGGATCAAATGCCCAGAACATTGTAAAAAGGCTGAAACCCTCAGTTAATTTAAATCATAATCAAACATGTATGTGATCTGTACTGTTTCCTTTCTTTCAACTTTTTAAAGTAATTCCATCTTTTATTTTGTCTTCTTTTATGTATAAATGTTGTATTTTAACGATTCAATGTTATTCTCTTTCATTTGTAATGTTCCTTCAATGAATGCCCCTGCAATGTACTTTTTTTTTTCTCTTCTCATATACCGCACTTCAAATTGTCTCGCAACCGAAATGTGCTTTGTAAACAAATGTGCCTTGCCAGGGAGCCGAGAAAGGTACATTGCTAAAGAACGGAAGCATATTAGCAGGAAAATGAGTGGAAGGAAAAAGTGCAATAAAAAAAACATTAACTGCAGCACTGAGAGGATTGTGATGTAAAAAACCCTTTCAGGGGTTTGCTGTGATTGGCAATCGGTGAAGTGAGCACCTAAAAGCACCACTACCTGTTTTAATGACAATGTTATCACTGCCTTTGGTTCTAAGCAGCACCCCATACAGTTTATATTGAGTAATGTTGACATGTAGAAAGAAACTCAACTAACTAAGACATTTTTATATATATCTGTAAAATGATTATTCTCTTATATAGTATTCCAACTTTCTAAAAAAACTAAACTAATTTGTAATTTTTGTAATGAAACTATGTAAGATTCATATAGTTTATTTTTCCAATCTTTTGAAACATGTCTGTCTGTAATAGCAATAATGGATTTGCAGCTTTGCACAAATGGAGTTATCCGTAATATCTAACATGGTGTGAAATACTGAGTAGAGAATAAACTATTTCGATATGATGCGTGCAGGAAAAAAAAGGTTTCTGAAGAAATATTTAATCCAGCACATTGATCTATGCCATCATAAACAAACATCGCAAACCCGATTTGATCAGAGAGTCCAAGGATAGGAAGAAGAGGCAAATTGGACATCACATAAAGATTTGCTTCTTCAAAATTTTCCCATTTTCTGCAAAACGAAAAAAAAAATCTTTTCTCAGCTCTAAAAGATTTATTAATGTCCAAAGCCTGGCCTTGGTGAAAAGAGTGTTGTAATGTTTAACAGATGAAGTGAGAGCAGAAAAGCCTTCCATCAAGGTCATTACCGCCACACACAAAAAAATCAACACACCCACACCCGAGTTTACATGCACATTTATAAAAGCAGCTTTTATTAAAGATGAAATTGCTGAAATTGTAAATACTTCCAATCAGACAGTATGTCATTTACACTCCAAGCTTGTTTTGTTTTCCTTTCTCATTCACGCTCGTACACACTCATGTTTTGTTGCCATTTTTCCCCTCTCAGAAGTAGCCCGCTCTCTATCTAAAGTGTGTTTTGCCAAAGGCAAAGTGCATTTCCATATATTTCCATTCGATATGAGGAGGCTCTCCATCCAGGGTTATGTTTTTCTCTAATGCTTCCTGCCTCTCCCCATCCTTCTTCTTCTTTCCCTCTGCTCATCTCGCCGCTCTGCTCGTTCACTTATTCCCATTCCCTGCTCTACACGCTGCTTACTTGCTCGCTTGAGGGGGTCCTGAGAAGGAGTGACACAAACAATTACTGACCAACTACCAGGGACGTGTGCATGTTTGTTTGTGGACGTTCATATGCAAAGAAATGCATAAAAGCAAAGGAATAACTGCAACGTATTTGATGTCTGGCCTTCTCAGTAAGTCCTTCTTCAAGCTGTTTCTTGTTTACTTTTAATGCAAAACCCACTGAGTCCCCTGTAAACATCCGTGTGCCTCATCACAGTTTCTCCTTTGCTCTCCTCTCCAGCTCATTCTTTCTTTTTCTGACACATGCATGCTCACTCCTCTCACCTCCCGGTACATTCCTGCTGAATAATCAATTTCTGAGCTGGCTGATGTGACTCAAACGCACACATACACACCCTCACACACACATGCAGAGACGCTGCCTTGAGACTGGATCGATACCCCTCTCTGTTCTGCTGAAGGAGGCATTGACATCATTCCTGGCCTGAGGCCAAACACACTCTTATCCTTCAGAAAGAGAGAGGAAGGGAGACAGAGACTGGAGCTGGGAGGAGTTGGGATGAGGAGGGGGGAGAACAAAGAGGGGCACCACTCACTTTCAGGGCACAAATTGGTCTGTAGACTAAGCGGGGGGTGATTTCGTGCGTTCGTTTGGGTTGCATGTATGTGTCTCCATCGAATGGAGGAGAGTGAGTGAAGGACAAGGTTGGCAGCAAACACCGTCATCGACTTGTTTTTCCATTTCCCACTCTCTTACCTCTACCCCCTGGACTTTAAGCTTCATATGATCCTCTCGGGTGGTCTTCCCATCTTTCCTCTTCTTCCAGCAGTAGCCATCTTTCCTGTACTTCACCTTTTTACGGTTGTAGAGGATCATAGAGCCATTCTGAGGCCTGCAGTAGGACAGGATAAAGAAAGGATCGTCGTTATTTCTGCATAGTTTTACCTCATGCAGCATTTTGCACAGTGACATCAGCGCTACTCTTGGCAAGTTTCACGTGCCGACCCTCCCCACTCACATAAATAGCCCTGTGCTCCAACATGTTAATATTTTAGTAGGGTGATTTACTGGCACAGCAAGAACATTGGCCTCTAAGCTCCCTTTCTATACACACCTGGTGGGATGAACACACACCATCACAAAGACACACAACAGGAGTCATACATGAACAAAGACAGGGGTATAATAGTGATATCAGACATCGCAGGGCCTGCTGCTGCGTCTTCTTGGGGCTCAAAGTCAAACCTGCTGCTGGGCGATCAATCATTACTTTTAAAAAACATTAGGAATACGTGTGTGTGAGACTGTGTGCGTGTGTGTAAAAGGAATAAAAAAAATGCTGCTCTTCCTTATCTTGTGACACCAGGAGGAGAGAACAGACTAGTTAACAATCAATAAACTAACATACATTGCCTTGCAAAAGCAATTATACGCCATAAACCCTTTCACATTTCGTTGCGACCACAAACTTTAATGTATTTTAATGGGGTTTATTAAATAGATCTGCTCAAGCAGTGCATAATTGTGAGGCAGAAGGAAAGTAATACATATTTACCACATTTTCTTCTGATAGAATAATCTGAAAAGGGTTGCATGCATTTGCTATTAGGCACACTGAATCAATACTTTCTACAAGGACAGCTTCAGGTCTGTTCTCTATCAACTCTACGCAGCTTGGGAGGGATTTTCTTTTAACACCAGAGACGGAAATATCTGCTAATTCTGGAAAATAGTATGGGAAGAATGCCATCAGCTGGACAGCATCTGTAAACATCAGTTTCCAAGTTTTACCTAAAGTTCTTAATCCAAATAGTTGTGGACTTTGACAAGGCAGTTTTTATCATACAGTATAAAGATGGTCGATATTTCTGCAGATGTTCTGGTTTTATACAGAGTTAAACAGTCCCAGCCTTAGGTCTTCTGGGGTTTAGAAAATGTTTTTTCCTCCAGGAATGTCCTCATTAAGCTCCATCCATCTTCTTCCATCATCTCTTACCGGCATGTAAGGCACTGCTGAAGAAAATCAGTAACTGATATTTTTCTACCTCACATAGCATTCTGTGTGCAGGCCAGCACCTTTAACGAGATCTCATATACTAAGTAATAACCAGATTGGTATAGGACCCAACTTCTAGTCACCTGCAGCTCATCCAGAGCTACTGTGATGTCTTAGTTTCATCCTTGTTTAATGCACTCCTCCCCTGCTTTCTCGGTTTAGATGGGCAGCAATGTATGGGTAGGTGTGTAATTGTCTTCCAATTTCACCATAATATATTGAACAACGTTCTGTGAGACGTTCAAATATTGGGATTTTCTTTTTATAATATAACTCTGCTTAAATCTCCAGAGTTTTTTTTTCAAGTTCCCTAACTAACCTTTGGGATCAGCACAAAACAGTCAGATCCAAATGAATTTATCATACGAAGGTGAATCTTATCTAAAAAATTAGATGAGTCCTGATTTTGAACAGGATTGGTAAGAGTCAAGTGAGTGGAGGTCTATTCATATGCACCGCTCTGTTTTGTTATAGTAATATGTAAAGGATATTCACGGAATATTGGGCTACTATTTATTTTTTAGTGATACAATTTATTTTTTGAGTAATAATAGACTAATAGTTCAATTTTGTAAACAACTCTTGACTATTCACTGTGTTGATGAGCTGTTAAGTTTATTCCATTTCACAGGAGCTGTCTTCTGCTCCTACATGGTGGAGTAATAGCGGGCCAAAAATAGTCCTAATTGATATGAAGAGGGCTCCATGATGCAGTTGGTAGCGCTGTTGCCTTGCAGCAAGAAGGTTCTGGGTTCGATTCCTGGCCCGGGGTCTTTCTGCATGGAGGTTGCATGTTTTTCCTGTGCATGCGTGGGTTCTCTCTGGGTACTCCAGCTTCCTCCCACAGTCCAAAAAACATGTCTGTTAGCTTAATTAGCTTCTATAAAAAAATGTCCTTAAGCCACCAGACTGGTGACCTGTCCAGGGTGTACCCCGCATCCTAGTCATAGACAAGCAGAGATAGATACCAACCCCACATAATTCTGACAAAGACTAAGCAGGATGAGGGATGGTTGGATGATATCAAGTTCTGATGTATGGATGTTTTGAAATTGTTGAAATAGTCTAACAGAGGATATCCATAGCTTTTTTAGCTTAAAAAAAACTTGATTATTTGCGGTCCGGTATCATACCAGAACTACATTTTCTTTAGTCCAATACTGGCCGAGCAGGAGGCTTGGTGTAGGTATGGACCTGTAGCAAGCAGCTACAGACATTGGATGTTTCCCACAACCTCAGGTCGAAAAAATTGAACTATTCTTTCAAAAACTATCAATCATTTATTTCATCCTATTTACACGTGTGTGTTATATTTTATCAAAAAAATCCAATTATGTTGAAAATAAGTCAATGGTGGAACAGGAGAAAAGACAGACTAATCGGCCGGCCGATATTAACGTTTATTTTAATGTTAATTCTTGTGTCGCTATCGGCTGATGCATGTGTTCACCGATTCATTAGTGCATTCAGCAGCCATGCCTTGAGATCACATGAGTGAAAACCCTCTATCGGTTGATCTCTAGTTTTAACATGGCAGTTTGTGAAAAAGTTGCAAGGATGTTGTCAGAAATGCTTTTTCAAAGGCAGTCGCCTGAGAAGATGCACATTTCCTCCTTCCCCTCGCTGCACTTCACTTCTCAATCCGCCTCAAGTCCTCTTCCCTCTTATCGCATCTCCTCGTTTAATTTTTTTTAAACTTCTACTGTCCCCCCGGTTCTCGCCTGCAGTTCTTCTCATCTCATCTGTTCCTCCTAGTACCAACCGCCTTTTCTTTCTCCTCTCCGCTCTGAATTCAATGTCGACACATCTATGTGGACTGAGATGATAGCGGCGTACTCAGAAGGCCGTGTGTAGCGAAATTGAATTTACTGTGAGCTGATTTTCTCTGACACCTTAAATCTGTTCTGTTTTGGGGGCCAGCCTGCCAGTTTCTTAGTGGAGTGGAGACCCCCACCCTCCGATCAAAGCCAAGTATAGTCTCTGTCTCAGGCAGCGTGAGTCATCTGAGAGCTGCTGATTCTAATTATGTTACGGAGAAGATGGATGAGATCAAACGCCTGTTTGTGTGTGGGCGGCAGACGTGTGCTCGTTTCGTATGTGGACGAGGGGAACGCGCACGGGGACGGTTGCCCATGCGTGCACCTCGCGAACCTTGTGATTCAGGCAGACATAAATGCTATTGATTGTAACTAGGCTGTGATGTGTGGGATATAAAAAGCTTTTCAGCCGTTCCACGGTGTAGCAGAGCAAAAACAGGGAAGGAAAGAGGGAGGAGATGGTCGGGAGAAAAAAAAAAACCCGAAAGCAAAAATTAAGAGGAAGAGTGGGTGTGTGAGTGAGTCCGGTAACGGGGGTAGAGAAGGATGGGCGAAGAAAAAGGGGAAGGTAGCTCTCTGGTAACTTTTAATTGATAAAACAGCTCAGAGATGAATGAAATCAAGGTTTAGTGATCTTCATGTTGTCTCCCTCAGAAGCCTAGCAAAAAAAGAAAAAATGCAGTCATGTAAATGTCAGTAGCTCCGTGTGCTGAGCTCCTTTCCATCTGATGGGATTAGGTGTAATCTGTTCTAATCGGGCCTCATGTCATGTGTAAATGGGATTATATCTAACTGCTGCTCAATAACACCAATATGACTGCTGCTGCTGGTGCTGCTGCTGCTGCCACTGCTGCTGCTGCTGAGGCTGTAATGGCAGCACAGCCAATCAATGAGAAATCCATCCACAACATAAACCGTGCTGGTGGCCTCCGGCTGCTCCTGACAGGAGTCCTTAGGCTGACACAATAAGAGCACACAGATATCACCTCAGTCTTTCAACAGTGTCAGTAATCAGAAATGGGGGCACAAGGTGACCGATTCACTCGCTTCACTTTCACTTTTCTATTCCTCCCTTTGTTTCTCTCTTCTCTTCCTGCTCCTTTCATTCTTTATTCTATTCTCTTTTCCACAGTATATACCTACAGTGCATCTGTATTAACTAAAGTAAATGTCAATAAGGTGATTCATCAATAATTCAGCTTGCCCTTTTCACCAATTCTTCTATTCTGTTCTGGCTTCCTTGCAGCTCTCCTTCTCAGCACTCCATTCTAGGAAAAAGCGCCACTTATGGGTCCTTCAGCTCAATGAATATTCACTCCTGGCATGTGATCCCCTGTTCACCTCCCATCTTTTATACACATGCTGCTCCTCCCTTTAAACCCCACCCCCATCTCATCGTCCTAGGCCTGAATTATACATCATGTATCCTAATACATTTACATTCATTAATACTCCATTTCCAGCTGACTAGGAGCTTTACGGTGCGCTCATGTTCTGGAGGGTTCTTTACATGTGGAGTGGGCCGTTAGCAGGAGGGAGACAGTTGATGTACATTAGTAATGTTTTAATCAAACACAGGCACTTACTCACTGAGATTAAACTACGATGAGTAATTGACTGAGTGAGTGATGCATGAGCTGGCACCATGTGGACTGAAAGTTTGAGAATCCTTTAGAAACTTCTGCTACGCTTACTATACATAATTTGTTCTTTACCGCTAAAAATAGATCAAGAACAACTAAAAAAGAGCTTTATATTTGGTTTTCATGTTATCTCTTGCTGTTGTTATAATTGTATGGAAATCTGTCTTTTTATTAAGTCCCTAATCCCCTCTTGGTGTGTTTGGCAATCTTAAACCATGCTTCTAGAACAAAAAATTCTCCCTCGAAATAGGTTTCATTAGAACCCAAATCTTTCGCTGCTATTGTAACTGTGGAGTACTAAACAGTAGAGACAGACTGATGCATGTTGAATAGTTGGCCAATATCAGCATTATTTGCATGTATCAGTATCGGTTGATATGTGCACATGTTGGTGGTTTCATTAGTGTCCAAACTGAGAAGCGACAGGAAGAACTGAATTGAATAAATGACCAAGTTTAAGAATTTATTTATTTATTTATCTTATTGCAATGTTGAGATCTGTAAGCAGTAAAACGTTTTTTTTTTTTTTTCAAATGCCTTTGAAGGTTAGACTTTAGCGATTTAAAGGAGTTGTAGTTTATTTGTAGCCTTATGAAGCAGACTAAATGTGAGAGTAAATGCATAATTTAGTCTGGCCCCGATGAATGAGACATCGTAAGATAGTTGATCAGAAAAAAAACGTTGTTTTTCAAACCATGTCTGCGCCTATTGGCCAATGCTCTGACCAATGAGCGCAACTGACTGTGACGCAGTAAGCGCGACAGGAAGCTGGTGGGGGAGTGTAAATAAACAGCCTGTCGGTAAAACAGCGAATACATCCTTCTTAAAAATGAATGAGCAAAGAGCCTCTTCCTGCTCACGTTTCAACGAAAACCCCAAGTCTAATCCTTCCAGAACTGATTCCAAAGCTGAGTCAAACAAGAACTGTACAACAGTTGTTGCCATCTTCCTTGTGTTGCTTTCTCCAGTGTTGTGATTGGCCCACCAGTTCTAGGGCCTGGGGCATTAATCGAGGTTAGAGCACTCGCAGGCAAAAATGATTTTGGCCGCTGACGGGTGGGGCTAGTTTATTTGATCACTTCTGCCGCAAAGGTTAGGTTTTCATCATTTTCAGTTTGTTTGTTTTCAAAATAACAAAAAAAGTTATGGCCAGATTTTGCAAAGATTTCCAAAGAAGGTGCTGCTCCCTCCATTTGTTTACCTTTGTTAATGTTTAGTTTGAATTGATACAAAATGTTTGCTTTTTGGTAAAGATGTATACTTGTGTTACGTTTATCCTTTTTATCATGTAAATGAAGGAGGACAAAAACTATATTACCTCTAAGAAACGCACAAAGATATCGGCAACACAGTTCAAAGATCAATTGCTGATGTCAAAATAATTTATATCTGTATTGGTCTTAAAAAGTCTGTATCACACAATCTCTGCTAAAAAATGTTTTTGCTTTGCTTACATATTCAGCTACTGTAGGAATTTGGACAGACATGTTATTTAGGTACTGTTTTAAACTAAAAAAATAATAGTTTTAGGTGGGCATTAGCACACAAAAACTTTGAAAAAAACAACCTTTTCACAAAAAAATCATATTTTTTCTTTCCCTTTCCAAAGTTTAAATCCTATAGATATCTTTCTTCACATCTGTTTGGGCTTTGCGGTTGGCGAGTGATGTAATGGTAGTTATCTTCTCATACCTGTATTTTGTCCTTTGCTATAAACACTGACAGCAATGAAGATAATAATAAACATTTCCAAAAGGAAAACAAGATGAGTTACAGTTGAGAATATTTTGCTCTTCTCGGGTCGGTCTTCTATTTAATAAGATTAGGTGAAAAGCTGGAGAAAAGCTCCAAACATTTTGCTGATTGCTTGGAAAACAGAATTTTGTTTTTTTTAAAGGGATCAAAATGTACATCCGACCCGCGATGGAACGTCTCTGAAAGACTCTTTCTTTCTTTATTATAACTCACACCTCATTATCACACTCATATAATTCATTCACAGAGATTGAATCCAAAATGTGGGATCAGTGCTCTGATTCTGGCAGTTAGAGTAGTTATCCACTAGTTCACTAGTCTTGTAGCTTGAGTTTTGCTTGAGCCTTTTTTCACAGCTAAAAAAGACCCAACCAAGTTTGGTGGAAAAAGTTACATAATATGTGTTGAAGCTATTATATAAGCTAAAAATAAGCAAATAAATAAGTGTTATTAAGCTGGCTTGGTTATATTTGAACTTCAAACAGGATTTAAATTAAGCTTAATGAAACTTGCACAAACTCTGGGAGATCTAGCACCTCAGCAAGTTGCGCTGCATTAAAACATCGTCAGCAGGAGCCTGATGGGAGAGTGGCTTTTTGTGTTGAGTCAGATATAATATTAGACTGTCCTGCAGAAACCCCTGATGGACAAAATATGTCACTGTACAGAAAGAAAATAACCTGAACCATCTGTAATGGATAGAGTTGAATTGATCAACACTCGATACTAAAAAGACCATGTCATGCTAACAACATGTAGTGTTCTCATTTCTAGACACTTTTAAGCTTCAGCGTTTGCTTGCTTTACTTTGACAACATTAACATAGCATCAGACAATGCTAATGCAAAATGCCTGATAAGGATGTCCTCCATCTATCATAGAAATTATGTTTATTTTATGTAAATCTGTAGATGTTGAAGAGAAAAAAAGTAGGTGTGTGTGTAAATTATTGTCTGTTCTCACCTGGTTTTTGGCGATGTCGTCAGCCACTCATCATGTTTCTCAAAAGTGATGAGATATGCAGCAATCTCCTAGACAAGCAGAGAAAGGAGGGGGTTATATTAGTGTCTGTACATCACCAAATGGTGTGTGTGTTTGTGTGTCACAAGGAGATAACACATAACAGCTGCAGTATTTCTAGATGACCTGCTGATGCCCATAGAGAGACTGTCACTATCTGATTGCCAAGGTGAGGTTTGGCCACCTGATTGGTCACAGGGCAGCCAGTGAGGAAGCAGATACAGAGGACAGACCCTCAGGGCCAACAACCAATCAGACTTTGCTCGTCCTCCACTGGGGAGGAAAAGCTATCTCCTAAATACACATACTTGCACTATATAAACACACACACACATACACAGGGGGTACAGGCCTATTCACTGGCTGAGAAAGTGTGCTGATAGGAAAAGTTTCCCTGCACTTTGTAATTTTGCAGTTTGCCATTCAGATAAAGCCTCTCACAAACTTTATTCTTAATTCCTGCGGCTCTCCTCTCATCTCCTCATCTCTCCTCTTTACTACCCTTCTTTTCTTACTTATATGAAACCAAGAATAAAAAAGAAAAGCTTAAATCATACAGGTGCATTTTTCCAAGAGCTGGAGAAAAACAAAACAACCAAATACACACACATACACCTACATACGCACAAACAGAGACGTAAAGAAATGCATCCAAAAGCAACTGCTGTTTGTACCTCGCGCTTTTTAGTTGCTCGTGCAACTCTTCCTTTTCTCTTTGCTCGGTGAACTTTCTCACCTCTGGTTTCCTCCTTCAAACACCCCTCTCTATCCATCTATCATCGACTCCCATCTCACCCACTTGTTGTGAAAGACTATGAAATGTAAATTATCCTCTTAAGGCAATCAGCTTTTGAAATGTGGCACAAAGCAATAGTGAGGACGACATCAACACTCCAACACTCCTTCATCTGCCCCCTCAGATCAACACTCTCCTCTCCAGACTTTCTTTCTCTCTTATCCTCTGTGTCTTGGTGTATGTATGGGTTTGTGTGTGTGTGTCCCAGTTTGGCATGAGAGCTCTCCGGCTCGACACCGATATGACAAAAGATTTGAGATGTTGGAGGGAAGGGGAGGGAAGCGAGAGGGGAAAATACAGAGCAGCTGGAGGGTGCTGGCACTTAACTGGATTGGAGTTTTTTTTTTTTTGTGTATCCTCAGTTTGATCCCAACCTGCAAACTCCCACCCGCCTCATTCCGGATTTATGGGAGCATTCGTATATGCATGTGTCGGGCGAGAGAGACCGTTATCACACCCTTGATAATTATCAATATCAAGCGTGAGAAAGTGCTTCTGTACGAGGCTCATAAAAAGGCTCAGAGGGCCGCGTAAACAATCTCCACATGAATGCAAAGTATACAAACTGCTCCAACTTTGCTGCAGTTGTGAATTTCCAACCACAAACTTCAGAGTATTGGTTTTAAAGCATGGCATGCATTAGCTATACCCTATATAATCTGACAACCCCAAATAAAATCCACAGCAATCAACTGCATTAGAAGTATATAAACTCAGTGCGTGGAAGGACTAAAATCATTGCGATGTGATCTCTAACGAACACAGAGGGCCAAAATATACATTAAAAGACACAAATGTGACTGAAATAAATAAATTCATCATGAACTTAGTAGATTTAATATTTATTTATCTCATATATATAATTGCGATACTAAATAAACCATTAAATTGTGAAATGATATTTAAATGTCCCACTTAAAAGTACATTTAAAATTGTGAATTAAATATTTAAATATAATTTTTGAATACATAATTCATTCAAAATGCAATATAATAAGCTTCACATGTCTAAATAAATGAAGATTTAAGATAGTGATTGTTGTTGTTTTTCGGGTCCCTGGCTGAAAAGTTTGGGAACCCTTTTGTTAGAGAAAAAAAAATGAAAGATTAACATGAAGACAAAAGGATAACGTTGTGGTGAGGTTAAAAGTCAGGTTATGTTTTAAAAATACACCCCAATTAGGGCTGAACAGCTCAAGATAAACTTTTATCAAAACGTGGTGATAACTTTTAAACACATTTCAGATATTTCAATATATACATCCCAATCTTTGATTAAAGTGTTGCACTGTTGTCACTGACTGAAGTTGTTGGTTTTATGTAGTTTTTGTCCCCTGATTGCCAATATGGCATTTGAATCTATGTCCGGTGCTGGATAACGGCCGAACAGATTTTCTTTCACAAGTGGACCATCATGGCTATCACCAGAAGGTTCCAGTAGGTAATTTTATATAAAACTTTATTGGAAGCGACTTTGGGAAAACAATCATATGCAATGGACAAAGAGACGGAAAAGAACGTGAGAAAATGAGAGGGGATAAGAATTAAAGGGAGAGAGAGAAATAGAGAAAGAGAGGGAGAATAAATTAGGAAAAAAAACAAAGAACATATAGAACAACTCCAATAACTCTGCTTTTACACCTGCAAGAAACAAGAGAAAATTACTGTTTCTCTTTAGAGCAAATAATTTTAAACTGTTATATTGGAGGAGTTTATAAACATGGCGAAAATAATTCTCAGATTTTTGTACAGGCTTGCTGTGGGTATTGCTTGGCAGTTATTCTGAGGCTTTCATGTTGTTTATATCAACATCAAAATAACATTACATTGACTGAAATGAAGAAATATATTTCTAAATATTATATCATTATAGCTCAGTGGCACAGTGGTAGCACTGCTGCCTTGCAGCGAGAAGGTTCTGGCTTTGTTTCCCGGCCCAGGATCTTTCTGCATGGAGTTTGCATGTTCTCCCTGAGCATTCGTGGGTCCTCTCCGGGTACTCCGGCTTCCTCCCACAGTCCAAAAACATTAATTGGCTTCTCTAAAGTCCCCTTAGGTGTGAGTGTGTGTGTAAATGGTTGTTTGTCTGTTGTGTTGCCCCGCGATGGACTAGCGACCTGTCCAGGGTGTACCCCGCCTCTCGCCCATTGACTGCTGGAGATAGGCACCAGCACCCCTCGTGACCCCATTTGGGATAAGCATGCTAGAAAATGGATGGATGGATATATTATTATATAAAATATAATGAAATACAGAATACAATACACAATTAATACAGGAAGACAGAAGCACAACTCTGATCAGAGAACCTGTTGACAAGAAAACAACTGCATTAGTCATGAAAGCCACAGATCTGGTCTTTCTTAATAAAATAACAAGCAAAAAGAAAGCCATGTTGGTGAGAAAACCATTAGAAATCCTTTGTGGAAGCATCAAGCATAAAGGGGGGGTTAGTGAGTAGAAAAGATAGAAATCACACGTTTTTCACACACTGTGACAGAGAAAACAATCTCCAAGGTGAACAATGGGGGGATGGAGAAGCAGGTGAGAAGCAGGTGAGAGTTGATGAGACGATTGATGGAACTGGGTGGGGGTTAACCTTTCAGCAGGAAAAGCACCCTCAACATACACCCAGAGCAACCAAGGAAAAGAAAAAGATGGATCCTCATTCGAAGTTTTTACAATTATGTGTTACTTTTTGAAAGATCCCAATCGGCAAGTTAGGGTTTGTTGTATGTAGTTAAAACATGAAAAAGTTCAGTGGTGAGAGTACTTTTGCAGTGTGGCCATTGCTTGGCACAATGACACAAAGACACACACACACACACACACACATAAGCACAGAAGGAGTGCCTCATTCATTTATGCATCTATTCATTAGCTGTGACAGCCAGCCACCTCTCCTCCTCCCAAACCACTCCGCAGCAAGTCAATATCCTATACAGCCTCCGCGGCTCTGGCCAGGCACTCTGGCTCCCCTAGTGACTGTCAGCCGGCGGGAGGCGGGAGCAGCGGGGAGAAGGAGGGAGTAGATGAGGAGCAGGAGGGGGAGGGTGGACAGAGGGATGGGAGGATTAAGACAGAGAGAGAGGAAGAGAGGGAGAGAGACTTACAATTAAAGGCCTGCCCCATAAGAGCCATTAAAATACCAGAAACAGAGGAGTCAGCTGAAAAAGGCAGCCCAACACACACACACTCTGAAACACACACTCTCCTGCTGCTGCTGCTCACTCCCCCCCCGGCAGCGCACACACATGCCCATGTGAAGAGTGACAGAAGTGAGTCGGTGAAGGTCGATCCTCAGGAAGTCACAGTTATTGTCCCAGTGGAAGGAAGTGATGGAGCACTGTGAGCACGCCTGGTGACACGCTGACCCTACAGGAATACTGTGAGTGAAGGTGTGTGTGTGTGTGTGTTGGCTGTGAACGGGCACATGGGCCGGGAAAGGAAACCTCCTCCAGGGATCTGCTCGAGAAACCCAGACGTTCTGCATGTCTGTGTGCAACAATACATTCACATGTGCTTTTTATTTTTTTTTCCCTAAACACACACCCATTCCAGTCGGCTGTGTGTGCGTGTGAAAGAGCTTGAAACAGACTTACTTGAGAAATATCTAACAAAGCAGGGAGCATGAGTGGAAAGTTAGATTGGAGCAGGCACTGCAGTTGGGGAAATCAGCCTCCCACTCACGCTTCACTGAGACCATCTCCCTCCGAGAAACTGGTGGCATGTACAGAAAAGCAGCCACACAGACGCGTGTGTGTACATACAAACACTTTTACAGCGCCTTAGGGAGGATCCCGCTGTAAGGAAGGGACTTTATAGGGAGGCTGGTTCACCTACACAACCCACAGACCCATCCAGCACCTTCTTAGGTCTGGCCACTGGCTCGTATGTATAGATATATTCATGTAAGAGGGAGTTGTGTTAGCGTTTGAAGTCTAATGATGAGCATCACCCCGACAGAGATCTGGGGAAAACAGAGCTCCCTTCAAACTGGAACTGTCACATCCATTCGAAGTGCCTCCAATGAAAGCCGCCGCTGGCTCACAACAGAAATCATTTGGCATTGAACGGTTTATTTTGGCAGAACAGGAGGTAACAAACTGAAGTGTCCTTTCTAACTACACAATCCATACCTTCCCCACTCCTTGTGCATGGTAAGCCTGGCATTGATATAACGGTAACAGCATTAGGACCTAGAGAGGTCTACTG